GATAAAATATCTCAGCAAACTAGGAATAGAAGGGAACATCCTCAAACTTAATATAGGACATCTACCAAAATCCTTCGTCTGTCTTAATGGTAAAAGACTAAATACTTTCTCTCCGGTAAAAGGCAAGGATAGTCCTGCTCTTACAACTTTTACTCAACATTGTACTTGATGTCCTAATCAGTGAAGTAAGACAAGAAAAAGAAACGCAAGGCATACAGATAGAAAGTTAAGATGTTAAACTGACTTTATTCACAGAAGACATGAATAAATACATAGCAAATTCTGTGGAATCAATGGAAAGCTGCTAGGACTAATATGCAAATTTAGCAAGGTTAGATAATACAAAAACCAATTATATAACTATATACTAGTACTGAATAATGATAAAATAAAAATTTTAAATAGCATTTCTGTACCTTATCCCATATAAAAAAATTAACTGAAAATGGCCCATAGACTTATATATAAGAGCTAAAACTTTAAAACTCGTAGGAGAAAACACAGGAGTAAATCTTCATGACCTTGTGTTAGGCAATTGTTTCTAAGATTCAACACCAGAAGCAGAAGCAACAAAAGAAAACACATATGAACTGGACTATATGAAAACAAAAAACTTTGTGCTGCAAATGATATCATCAAGAAAGTAAAAAGACAACCCAGGGAAAGGGGGGTAACTATTTGCAAATAAGCTGATAAGAGGCTTGTATGTAAAATAAAGAACTCGGGTTTCCCTGGTGGTGCAGTGGTTGAGAGTCCGCCTGCTGATGCAGGGGACACGGGTTCGTGCCCCGGTCCGGGAAGATCCCACATGCCGCGGAGCGGCTGGGCCCGTGAGCCATGGCCGCTGAGCCTGCGCGTCCGGAGCCTGTGCTCCACAACGGGAGGGACCACAGCAGTGAGAAGCCCGTGTACCGCAAAAAAAAAAAAAAAAAAAAAAAAAAACTCATACAAGTCAATAGTAAAAAGACAAATATTAAAATACATTAAACTCAAACACAGTTTTACAAAATTAATAAAGATTTGAACAGAAAATTCTCCAGGAATTCCCTGGCAGTCCCGTGGTTAGAACTCCATGCTTTCATTGCCAAGGGTGCGGGTTCAATCCCTGGTCAGAGAACTAAGATCCCACAAGCCACACAGCCAAAAAAGAAAAAACAAAAAGAAAGAAAGAAAATTCTCCAAAAAAGACATACAAATAGCCAATAAGCACATAAAGAGATGCTCAACATCATTAGTCATTAGAGAAACGCAAATCAAAACCACAGTGAGCTACCACTTCATACCCACTAAGATGACTAATCAAAACCAAAGACAAAAACAAGTGTTGGTGAGGATGTGGAGAGATTGGAATACCCGAACATTGCTGGTGAGATTGTAAAATGGTGTGACCACTTTGGAAAACAATATGGCAGTTCCTCAAAATGTTATATATATGAAGCTACCATATGACCCAGCAATTGCACCTCCAGGTATATGCTCAAGAGAAATAAAAACTTATGTTCAGGACTTCCCTGGTGGCGCAGTGGTTAAGAATCCGCCTGCCAATGCAGGGGACGTGGGTTCAAGCCCTGGTCTGGGAAGATCCCACATGCTGTGGAGCGACTAAGCCCATGAGCCACAGCTACTGAACCTGCGTTCTAGAGCCCGTGAGCCACAACTACTGAAGCCCACATGCCTAGAGCCCATGCTCCACAACAAGAGAAGCCACTGCAATGAGAAGCCCGCGCACCGCAACGAAGAGTAGCCCCCGCTTGCCGCAACTAGAGAAAGTCTGCATGCAGCAACGAAGACCCAACACAGCCAGAAATGAATAAATAAATAAAATGTTAAAAAAAAAGTATGTTCATACAAAAATTTGTACATTAATGTTAATAACAGCATTCCTAATAGCCAAGTGGTAGAAACAACCCAAATGTCCACCAACTGAACAGATAAACAAAATGTTGTATATCAATACAATGGAATATTATTTGGCAATAAAAAGGAGTCAAGTACTGATACATGCAACAACATGGATAAACCTTAAAAACATTATACTAAGTGAAAGAAAGCGGTCACAAAAGACCATACAGTTTATGATTCCATTTATATGATTTGCCAGAATAGGCAAACCTATAGACATAAAGTAAATTAGTGGTTGCCTAAGGCTGGGGGTAAGTGAATGTGGGAAATGGGAAGTGACCACTGGTAGGTATGGAGTTCCTTTTTGGGTTGATGAAAGTGTTCTAAACCTAGACTGTGATTGCTGCACAACTCTGAATTTACTAAAAATCACTGAATTATATACTCTCATGAGTGAAGCTTATGGTATGTGAATTTTCTTCCAATAAATATGCTAATCTCATTTTTAATAGCACCCCAAATCATGAAATATGTGGGGGTAAACTTTACAAAGTACGTAGGGGACCAGGACCCTGAAAATTACAAAACATTCCTGGGAAAATCTAAAGATGTAAACAAATGGAGAAATATATCATGTTCAATTATCGATGACTCAAAATTGTCAAGATGGCAATTCCCCCCAAAGTAATCTATAGATTCAATTCAATCTCAATCAAAATCCCATCAGACTTATTTTTAAAGAAAGCTGATTCTGAAACTTATACGGAAATGCTAAGGACCTAGACTTGTCAACCCAGTTTTGGAAAAGAATAACAAAATTGGAGGACTCACACGATCTAATTTTAAGACTTACTATAAAAGCACAATAATCAAATTAGTTTGGTATGGAATGAGGGTAAACATAAATCAATGAAACAGAATAGTGTATAGACATATATGCATACACATCTGGTCAACCAATTTTTGGCAAATGCCAAGGTAACTGTGTCAGTGAAAGAGCAGTCTTTTCAATACTGGAGCATTAGATATCAATTTGGAAAAAATGTCCTTCTATCCTCACTTCATACCATACAAGAAACTTATCTTGAAACGGATCATAGACTTAAATATAAGAGCTAAAACAATAGCATTTCTAGAAGAAAACATAAAAGGAAACCTTTGTGACCTTAGTTTAAGCAATGATTTCTTCGGACACCAAAAGGATGAACCATAAGAGAAAAAAATGTTAAGTTGAACTTTATCAAAATTAAAAACTTGTGCTCTTCAAAAAACATTATTACAAAAATGAAAAGGCAAGCCACACATTAGGAGAAAATATTTGTAATAAAGGACTTATATCCAAAATATATTAAAAAAAACTGCTACAAGTCAATAAGAATAACTCAATTATTTAAAAATGGGCAAAACATCTAAACAGGTATTTTGCAGAAGAAGATACACAAAAGACCAAAACCCAAATAAGAAGACGGTTAATACCACCAACCCTCAAGGAAAAATAAAAACCACAATGAGGTGCCACTGTATATGTACTAGATTGGCTAAAATTAAGAAGACTGACAATGCCAAGTGTTGGTGAGGATGTGGACCAACTGGAATTCTCGTAGACTGCTGGTAGAAATGCAGAATGGTACAGCAATTTGGAAAATAGTTTCGCAGTTTTGTATAAAGTTTAACATATGCTTCCTATGTGATCCAGCAATATCACTCCTAGGTATTTACCTAAGAGAAATGAAAACACGTCTATACAAATACACTCAAACATTCCTAGCAGCTTGATTGACAATAGTCCAAAAACCGGAAACTACCCCAAATGTCCATATGTCCATTAACAGGTGAACGAACAAATTTTACATAAATTGTAGAGTGGCATATTACTCAGATATAAAAAAGGAGCATATTACTGTTTTATCAACAACGGGGATAAATCTCAAAAGCATTGTGCTAAGTGAAAAAAGCCAGCACAAGAGACTACATATTGTATGGTTCCATTTAAATGAAATTATAGAAAAGGCAAAACTATAGTGACAGAAAGTAGATCAATGGCTGCCAGAGGCAGTGGTAGGTGGAAGGAACAGACTGCATGAGGCGTGAGGAACTGGGGGCAGGGCGGTGGAAATTCTCTACCTTGATGTTGGTGGCTATTGCACAATTTGTCAAATGCATCGAGCTGCACACTTAACACTAGTGAATCTTACTGTATATAAATTATATCTCAATACAGCTAATAAAAGAACTGACGCAGTGGTTACGAATCTGCCTGCCAATGCAGGAGACATGGGTTCGAGCCCTAGTCAGGGAAGATCCCACATGCCGCAGAGCAACTAAGCCCGTGTGCTGCAACTACTGAACCTGCGCTCTAGAGCCCGCGAGCCACAACTACTGAGCCTGCGTGCCACAACTACTGAAGCCCGTGTGCCTAGAGGACATGCTTCGCAGCAAGAGAAGCCACTGCAATGAGAAGCCCTTGCACTGCAATGAAGAGTAGCCCCCGCTCGCCGCAACTAGAGAGAGCCTGCAAGCAGCAACGAAGACCCAACGCAGCCAAAAATAAATAAATCAGGAATGAAACGAGGACATCTACCATTATCATTTTATCCAATATTATACTGGAGGTCCTAGCCAGTGTACCTGGATTTAAAAGAAACAACAACAACAAAAAACAACACAAAGACTGCCATTACTCACAAAGAAGATCTGCATAGAAAACTCAAAATAAGTTATTAGAGTGAGACTTTCTGGATACACAATCTGGATACACAGGCAGTATGTAAATCGTCAACACTGGTCTCCAACAGTAAACAGTTGAAAAATGTGATTTGGAGAGAGGTTATTTAACTTGCCCAAAGTCACACGGCTGGTAAAGAGCCGACTAGGAGGGAGTTCCCTGGCGGTCCAGTGGTTAGGACTCAGCCGGCCACCCCGCCCCCGGCCCACCAAAAAAAAAAAAAAAAAAAATTGTGGACTAGGATGGAAACAGGGCTCCCTGCCTCCTGGGTCCAAGCTTTTACTCCTGGGCTATATGCCTCTCTAGCACTGGTTGTACTTGTACAGGAGCCTGTACCCCACCTTTGGGTCCGTTCCCACGCAGCGGGTGAGGCCTGAGCAGGGCCTCCTAGGGCTGGAGCCAGGGTGTCCTAGGCCCGCAGGGAAAGGCTCACCATGGGGAGGACGGAGGCCCGAAGAGAGGCCAGGGTGATGGGCTTCCTCCTTCTGTCGTCCTGGCTTGCTGGGGGCAGGATCTCCACGAGGTTCATCTCCTCTTTGGCTTTCTCCCCCAGGCAAATCTGAGAGGGGTGGAAAACGAGCAGGGCTCCTCTTCACCCAGAGGGCGGAGGAGGCAAACCCTGTTCCAGCTGCGGGCACGGGACAATCCCACCTGCTCCTCTGTGGCTGTCCAAGTCCCTCCCTGCTCCGTGTTTCCGCCCCTCCTTGGGGCTGGGGGGTACCCACCGTACTAAGCAGCAGCATACAGTTCTGCTTCCCCACCTTCTGGGGTCTGAAGGTCCAAGTCGGCTTCTCCTGGCTCAGCTCACAGCCTGCGAAGGGAGACGGAGGGCGGAAGGCGTGGCGTGGGGCGGGCAGGCTCCAGGGAGGCGCGCCTCTCTGCCTCCAGCCCTAGGCGCACCCCCTGCCCCCGGTGACGTACCCCCAGCCCCCCAGGTGCTCCGAGAACAGCCTGGAGCCTCACTCACCCCAGAGCAAGGCCAGTGTCGCCTTTTCGGAGGTGCTGCTAGCACGGCTGCGATTCATGATGCGGGGCGGGGGCCGAGCAGCTGCGAGGAAGGGCGCGTTACAACCCCCGGCCGACAAGGCAGCCCACACCCGAGCTGGGGACACCCCGGCGGAGCGCTCCGCCAAAGGACGGTGCTTAGATCGCCCAGAGCGGGAGAGGTGAGCGAGGCGCCCGGCTGCCCCGCCGGCCCTCCCAGCACCCCAGGGGTGCAGCGCCGGTCAGCCGCGGGCAAGGCGGCTCGGTGCCCGGTCTCATGTCCACTCGGCCCCGGGCCCCGGCCCTCTCGCAACCCCTCCTCCACCTCACCGTCGCTACTCCGCGTGCAAGGCTCACGCCATAGGCTCCTCCTCGGATCGCTTCCCTCTTGGGCTCCCTCCCTCCGGCCTCATCCTGGCCTCACCTGAGGGCCGGCCGCCCACAGCGGGCGGTTATGAAGCCTGGGAAGGGGCAACGGGAGATGTCTCATCAGCCCCATTCCGTTCTTCCACTCTTTCCTCCTCTTCGCTCCTCAGAAGCACCTGGAGAGCTCGTTAAAACACAAAGCGCTAGGCCTCACCCACCTCCATCGTTTCCCACGGGGAGGTCTGGGTGTGACCCAGAGAATTAGCATTTCTAACAGGTGCCAGGTGAGGCGGACGCCGGTGGGCCAGGACCGCACCGTGAGAACCACGGTCCTGACCAATAGGGACTGACTGAGGTCTGCTGCCGGAGCCCGCCCAGCGCCCAGCGTGGAGATGCTTTGCTACCAGGTAGGAAGCGCAGCCTTGTCGGCCCTTCGTGCTCATCGTCTTTCTTCGTGTCCTTTCCCTACCCTCTAAGTGTGGGCCTCTTGCCAGGCCCAGAGGGCCTGACCCTCAGGGCTGTGGTCCTCGGAGAGGAAGAGCCCTGTTTCCAGAAGGATGACTTCTCCCAAGGCTAGGAAGGGGTGGAATACACCACGGGCACTGCGAGTGACCTTACAAGGGCGTCATTTCACAAACAGCAGTTCACACAGCACAGTGATGCCCTTAAATGTTTGTTTGGGTGGGGGGTAGTGAAGAGGAGGAAGCTTTTCAGCTGACCACCGCCCTCAAGTAACACCTCTGTTTGGGAGACAGAAATAACCAGGAATCTCTCTCATTGCATTCATATCCATCATTCGCATCCTGGAAACTTCTCACCTGCATATAAAGTTCACTGATTTTCAACCAAGGTGTCAAGGGAAAGGATAGTCTTTTCCAAAAATGGTGCTGGAGGAACTGGATTTATCTTTCTGCAACCCTGATTGGAGCTTCTGCTGTGCAAGAATCAGTTTTTTTTTCTTTTTAAAATACCAGCTTTATTGAGCAATAATTCATATACAAAAATGTACCAGTTTAAAGTGTATAATTTGAATTTTGACAGATGTATACACCATGTGGCCATCACCACAGCCAAGTCACAATTTCTGTTACGCCCCCAAATTTTCTCGTTTCCCTTTGCAGTGCATATCCTCCCCTTACTGTCTACTTGGCATCAGACACTTACCTGTTTTCTGACACTGTAGCTTAGTAGACTGTCCTAGAAGTTCATATAAGTAGAATCATACAGGGTCTTTTGGTCTGCCCTCTTTCGCTGGGCAGAATGTTTGAGATTCATTTATCCATAGTTGTGGTATCAGTAGTTTGTTTCTGTGTATCGTTGAGTAGTGCTCCACACTTGTATATCCAGATACCTGCTAGTCAATTTTTTTTTTTTTTTTTTTTTTGGTACGCGGGCCTCTCACTGTTGTGGCCTCTCCCGTTGCGGAGCGCAGGCTCCGGACGTGCAGGCTCAGCGGCCATGGCTCACGGGCCCAGCCGCTCCGCGGCATGTGGGATCCTCCCAGACCGGGGCACGAACCCGTGTCCCCTGCAATGGCAAGCGGACTCTCAACGACTGCGACACCAGGGAAGCCCTGCTAGTCAGTTTTATGTGTCAGCTTGGCTAGGCTATTGCACCCAGTTATTCAATCACACTGAGGGTGTGGCTGACACCTTCTACTTGGCAGTTGCTACTGAAGGTATTTTGTGGATGCGATTAACATCTACAATCAGTTGCCTTTATGGAAAGATTACCTTCAGTACCATGGGTGGGTCTGATCCAATCAGTTGAAAGGCCTTAAGAGCAGAACTGAAGTTTCCCTGGAGATGTTTTGCGTGTGGTCTGCAGCTTCAGCTCCTGCCAGAGAGCTTCCAGCCTGCTCTTCCTGACAACCTGTCCTACCGATCTCAGACTTGCCTAGCCACCTCTTATGATTGCATTAGCCAATTCCTTGTGCTACATCCCTGACTGATAACACCTGTTGATGGATATTTTGGGTAGTTTCCAGTTGTGGACTATTATGAATAAAAATGCTATGAACATTTGAGAGCAAGTCTTTGCATGGATATATGTTTTAGTTTTTCTAGGATAAATACCTAGGAGTGGAATTGCTGGATCATTTGGTGTGCATTAAACTTTATGTGAAACTGTAAAACTATTTAAAAAAATCCTGTACCAGTCTGCATTTCTACCAGAAATGTATGAAAATTCCAGTTGCTTTACATCTTTGTCAGCACTTGGCATTGTCAGTCTTCTTAATTTTAGCCATTCTAGTGGATGTATATAGTGACATGTGGTTTTTATTTATCTTTTTTTGATGACAAATGATGTTGAGTATTTTTTCAAATGTTTATTGGTCATTTGTGTATCTTCTTTTGCAAAAATACCTGTTCAAATATTTTGTTCATTTTAAAATTGAGTTATTCTTATTGAATTGTGGTTCTTTATATATATTTGGATGCCTGTTCTGTGTCAAGTATACGTATTCCAAAGATTTTTCACTCCCATCTATGGCTTGTCTTTTCATTTAAAAAAATGGTATCATTTGGAGAGCAGAAATTTAAAAATTTGATGAAGTCAAATATTTCTTTCTTTTATGCCTTATGCTTTTGGTATTTTAAGAAATCTTTGCTTAACCCATTAAAAATTATCCTGTTTCCTTCTAGAAGCCTTGTAGTTTGAGCGTTCACTTTTAATACTGTGATCCATTTGAAGTTAATTTTTGTGCATAGTGTTTGGTAAGGGTCAAGGTTCCTTTTTTTCCTCCTAAGTGGTTATCTAATTCCTCTAGCACCATTTTTGGAAAAGACTCTTTCTCTATTGAACTACCTTGGCATTTTTGTCAAAAATCAATTAACCATATATGTTGGTCTATTTCTGGATTTTATTGTTACATTGGTCTGTCTACCCTAGTGCTGATACCACACTGTCTTGACTACTGTAGCATTATAGTAAATCTTGAAATCAGGTAGTTGAGTCCTTCAACTCTGTTCTTCTATTTCAAAACTGTTTTGGCTCTTCCAGAGTCTTTGCATTTTCTTATAAATTTTAGAATCAGCTTGCCAGTTTCTAAAAAAAAAAAAAAAAAAAGCCTTCTGGGATTTTATTGGGATCCTGTTGCATGCATAGTTCAATTTTGGGAGAATTGTCATCCCGATTTTGAGACATCCAATGCATGAACACGTTGTAATCGCTTCATTTATTTAGATCTTTAATTTTCTCAGCGATGTTTTACAGATTTTAGTGTTCAGATCCAGCACACCTCTTATTAAATTTATTCTTATGTATTTCATGTTTTCAGATGCTATACCAAATAGTATATACTTCAAAATTTCATGTCCTAATAATTTGTTTTTAGTATATAGAAATACAGTTGGCTTTCTTATACTGACCTTGTATTCTGATTTTGCTAAATTCATTTATTAGTTCCAGTAGCTTTTTTGTACCCCAAATCACAACATCTGTGAATAAAGACAGTTTTACTTCTTCCTTTTTGATCTGTGTGTCTTTTATTTGTATATTTATTTATTTTTGTGCCTATTTGCTCTAGTTAGGACCTCAGGTACAATGTTGAATAGAAGTGGTAACAGTGGGCATCCTTTCCTTGTTTTCCATCTTAGGGGAAACATTCAGTCTTTCGCCTTTAAGTATGTTGTTGGTGGTAGGTTTTTCATGGATGTCTTCTTAAGAATGTTTCTTTCTAATCCTAGTTTGCTGAGAATTTTTTTTTATTATGAATGAGTATTGAATTTTGCCATATGCTTTTTATCTATCGAGAGGACCAACTTTTTTGCCTTTGTTTATATGAATTAGTTACTGATTTTTTGAATGTTTTAAACCAACCTGGCATTTCTAGGACCAATCCCACTTGGTCACGATGTATTATGCTTTTTTATATATTCCTGGATTTGATTTGTTTATATTTTGTTAAGTATTTTTGCATTCATGTTCATGAGGATATCAGCCTGAAGTTTTCTTTTTTCTTCTATAATGTCTTTGGTTTTGGTATGAGGGAGTGCTTGTTTCATAAAATGATTGGGAGTGTTCCCTCTTCTATTTTCTGATTTTTTGTTGAATTCCAGGTGCTCTGCTTGCAAAAGCAGAAGCATACTACAATTGAATCATACTACAATCCACTTTCCTGTACTCTCCCAAAGTCCTGTTGATTCCACCCCTTGACCCCAGTATTTCCCAGCTCTCTCTCTACAGCCCTCGTCTTGGTTCAAATCTTTATTACTCACTAGTTGGTGAGTTACAGATTGGTCACTAGGCTGCTTTCAAACTTAATGGCTTTTAGGATCAAATCCCAACCTCTTGTGCCCCACCCTTCATCCAGACACGTAGAGGACTGCACTCTCCCTCCAGTCATACTGTTTTTGCAGCTCCTAAAAAGGTACAAGATGTTTCATGCCTCAGGGTTTTTGCGCTGCTTGAGTGTTCTTCCCTGTCTTCTTCCGATTAGCTCGTTCCTGCGTTAACGCTCCTCTTGGTGGCTCCTCAGTTATCCCAGAGCAAACAGAGCGCGCAATGATCAACCTTTTCAGCTTGTTTGCCCACTCCACTGAGTTCTTCCCATCCAGGGATCAAGTCCTTGAACAGTGCCTCTGTGACTATCACCGTGGATACCCCCACCGGGCACACGGCCCAACTCTGGCCTTGCCCAAGAAGAACGCCCCGGCAACCAAAGAGGACACCAGCCTTAAGGAGTCATGACTGCGCCTGCGCACAGCGGCGGAAGTGGGGTGAGCGTCGACGCGGAGAGGACGCGCCTGGGGAGAGTGCGCAGGCGCGGCGGGGACGGAAGGAACGCCCCGAAACGCCTCCGGGGCGCGGAGGCTTGTTCGGAAGTTGTGCCGGGTTGGGGGTGAGTTCTTTCTCTTTCCTTCGCAGCGCGTGCGGCTGGTGTCAGAGGCTTCTGCTCTTTTCCGTTTGGTAGAGGCCTGTGGTAACGATGTGAATTTAACCCGCTCAACGCAGGCAGCCCAGGGCTCGCTCTGCAGGGGCTTCACCCAAATGAAGGTGCGGTTACTCTCCAACTCCCACTTCCCATCTTCTGCAGACTCTCCCACGCCCCAGATACACATCCTTTCACTCATTATGATCTTTTCCGTGTGGCCCCGGCTCCTGAGGAGCACGTTTTGGTTGCTGGGACGAGGAGGGAGTGGGGTTAGCAATAACTCAGGTAAACTCGTGAGACTTAGGGACAGTAGGGGGAGACTTCACAGAGGAAGTGGGACTCTACTTTGGGTTTGTAAAGGTGAGCAAAGGGCAAGAAAGTTTAGACCGAGAGGAGAGGGCCCTGCAGACGGGGTTAAAGGCACGAGGTAGGATGTGGAGGAAGATATGGCAGCGGCCGCGGCCTAGTTGGGTGGAAGCGTTCTCCTGCACCCAGCTCCTCGGCTGGTAGTTTATGACTTGTTTGCTGTGTGACATGTCCCAGACTGCAAGGTGTTAAAGGGTCGGGAACTGGTTTCCTGGTAAATATAAATGATAATGGCCTGTTATATACTTAAACTGAAAAGTGATTTCATTGCCACTAATTTTCCAGGTGAACTAATTCAGCCTTGAGGAGGCCTTACTCTCACTGCAGTGTCATCAGTCTTTAAGAGCTGAGGAGGTATGGTGTGGGTTCTGGCTTCGAAGGTACTGCTCTTACCTTTGCCCACCCTTTCACTGCTATCAGACGTGGGAAGAGTGGCCCCTCCGAGCTTTACATAAGGCCAAATCCATTGTCCAGTTAATCAGTTTTTATCCTGGGTTTGGTTGTCCTCCAGACCTTGAATCCAGATATGCATGGACTTGATTAATTTGTTATCCAGTAGCAGGGGTTAGGAGATTCCCCACTTGTCACTCTTCATTCTTTTGTAACCCAGTAATGGGATGGTTTGGGCCATACAGGTGATGCTGTTATGCTTAACATTTATTATGAGTTGTCTGTCTTCATGATTGTCAAGCAGAATTTAAAGTATAACTGTGTACGGTGCTTGTATAAGTATCGTTCACTACACTGTTTTGGAATCAGTTTGTACTGTTGGGGATCTTACACACAAGAGTGGCAATGAATTTGCCTTTTGCAAATGATGTTCTTTGCTTTTCTGTTTAGTTTCCTTTTCTGTTGCTGACCCTCAAAAAGATATTTGGCTTATAGTGGATGCTGATGAATGAACAGACGGCAGCAGTCAGGCAGTCCTGAGAACCATAAGGGTTTTCTGAGGAAGGAGGCATAATATTGCAAGCTTGATTTCATCCTCCATTCTGATCATTTGATGTCCCACTGTCTGGCAGCTGATTTGTTTAGTGACCCATTGACCTGAAATACACAAAAGTGGCTGACCAGTGAATTCCAGGGTATCTAAGAAACCCAAAGTAGATGTGATGGACCCAAGAGACATGCTACGGAGGCAAGAATCCTCTTAGACGTTATTTACCACCTAATCGGTTGTTGTATTAATTATGGCTGGTGAGTACATT